TTTATAAGGAAGTATTTTACTGTGCCAAGTAATAATGCAGTTTTAATTGTCAGGTTAATGGTTGGGCTTTTTGCAAATGTCCGGTTACGGAAAGTTCGTAGTTTCTTTGTACATAAGGAATATTGGTAGAGAATATCAGGTAAGGAAAACAATGCACCGCTGAATAAAGTGCTGCCTAAGTTTTACAGTGAATGCAGATGTATCAGACATCTAATGCCCCTCCTACGTTCACCTCTTTCCTTCATTGTACCAAACTTTTAATGGAATGAGTCCCGAATGAAGTGGAATTTCAAATTCCCTTCACCTCCACTGAGCTGTCTTATGATAGATCCTAACTTACTTGACACCACGTATCGTCTGTATTCTTAGAATTCATCATAAATTAAAGAATCTTTCGAATTTTAGTCAGGAATATTACGGACTCCACTATGCCTTTGCCACAGTAGCCATTGTTCCTTTATATTATTTTGACAGCTGTTGTTGTTCTTGTTTTATTCGAATTTATTGTATTTATTATTTATTGTATTTATCTGTTGTATTTGTCATAACCATTGCAAATTATGGTATACAGCTGATTTTAAATCATAGTTCATCGCTGACCCTGACATGAAATGTCGGATAAATTTAATAATAGCATGTGCTTCAGACCCTAACTGAAGGATTTCAACCAGTATCAGTAACAAAATCTTCTCAGTCCAGAGGATTCATGCGCTAAGTGATACAAGGATCGATGTAGAGTAAACTTAGTAAACACCTACCTTGCATCCAAAATATTGAAAGAGCGGAGCGTCATTTTGGAGACTTGACTAAAGGAGAATGAAGAAGATGAAGAAATCTCCTTTGGAACAAGATCACCAATGGTTCAAGTGTATGATGCGGTTAATTTCATGCCAAGGATACTTTGGGCTTCAAAGCAAAGTTCAGAAGATTTTAAACTGAATATATTTTGATAAGTTTACCATCATCGTCACCTTCAGTCATCGCTTCTCCTTTCGAATTGCCATGACAGAAACATCAGACGGTACTTTCAACGTTGCTGATCCTGTGCCAGAATTTGAGCTGTTGCAGAAGACAACAGGAGTCTGGAGCAGACTTTTACCATATATTTGCACCAGGTTAATCTTGACCGTCGCCTGGACCTTCTGCCGGTCGGATTCCCAAGAAATAGTTGCTTAGCCTTCCTTTCTGGAAGCATTCGCAACACATGTCGAAACAATCGCAGCTGTGACTTCTCAGTATTGAGAAACAGAGGCTGTAAACCAAGGCTTTCCCGAATGTGTGTATCGAGACGCGTAAGGCCAGCTACTCGTCTCCAGAAAGCCCAATTCAGCTGCTAGTACCTGGAATTGAAGTTTTCAGTCATGGTCCACGACTGGTGACCGTAGGTAAGCATGGGGATGAAGATTGACTTGAACCAGAGAACTTAGTTTTCACACTCACCTCTGCTTTAGCCATAATGGTTCGGGCTAATTCACGCAGAACGGCACTAGCTTCTCCAGTTCGCTGGTAGATTTCTTCCTCTAACTTTCCATTACTAGTAAATACGACTCCGACGTACTTGAACTTCTAAAATTGCTCCACTGCCTCACTGTTAATCAAAAGAGAGCAACTGGTAGTACAACGAGAAAGCACTAAGCTTTTCGTTTTAGATGCGCCCACAAGCATGCCGGTCACGTTGCACTCGATTGCGAACCTTTCTAGGGAACACTGGAGATCAGTTTCAGAAGATGCTAATAAAACAAAGTCGTCGGCAAACAGCAACCTTCTCGACTTCACATCTCCTACACCGATACCCTCATCGCCTTGGCAGCTCCTGCCTATTCTATCTATGTAG